GTGTTCAACATCATTACTAAATAGGGAAATATAAATTAAAACCACTTTAAGATTTATCTTACCCCAGTCAGACTGTCTAAAATCCAAGAGAACAAATGATACCAAATGTTGGAGAGGATATAGGGAAAGGGGGATGCTCATCCACTGCTGGTGGAATTGCAAACTTGTTCAACCTCTATGGAAAGCAGTGTGAAGAACCCTTAAAAAACTACAAATGAACCTACCATCTGACCCAGTTATACCACTCCTTGGCATATACCCAAAGAACTCATCCTATTGCAGAGACACTTGTACATCCATGTTTATTGCTAATCTTTTCACAATAGCTAAGGAATGGAAGCAACCTAAGTGTCCCGCAATTGACGAGTGGATAATGAAAATGTGGAACATTTATACGATGGAGTTCTACTCAGCAGTTAATAAAGATGAAATCATGAAATTTGCAGGTATATGGAACTAGAAACAGTTATACTAAATGAAGTAACAGACTCAGAGAAACAAATATGTTCTCCCTCATATGTGGATCCTAGCACCAAATCCTTGTAAGTGAGTACGTATCCAGACATAACTACAGGAACCAGGATAATGAAAAGGAACCAGGGAGGTAAAGGAAAAGAAAGAAACTGAGAGAGAAGAACAGTAGGAAACAGGTATTACTAAAGGAGATGTGGATTAAAATGGGGTTATTTAAATGGAAGGGGGGAGGGTGGGTTATACAGTGAACCTTGGGGATAAAAGGAAAGAAGGAGCTCGAGAGGTGGGACCATAGGAGAAGGGTATTAAGGGAGAAATGGGGAAGATGGGAGTACTTTAAATGGGGAAACCATGGTGGAAGGGTTAGACAGAAATAATGCCTATCTAGTTTTTGAAAAACCAGAGGGAACTATATTAGTCCAACAACCTATTGACAAATTATACATACAGCTAGTTCAAGGAACAACATACTTGTCAAGATTTATCTGAGAACATTTGGTTTTTGCCCAAGCTTTATCTACATAGTGCATGGTAACTAAAAGTACCAGACTGGTGGAACTAACTTTCTTGGATGTTTAACAGCCATACTTTGAGGCCTGTAGTAATCTGGTCAGAGGGACTGAAAGGACAGGTTTTGCTCCTTGCTGACCAAGGTTGACTATGTTCCAGGGGAGTATGGAGCATCTCCAAAATGTCCTGTAACTGTGGTGAGTCACCTGTCCTTTTGTTCAGGGAGGCCATGGAGACCCCACCAGATGGACTTAAACCAGTGTCCAGTCTACAAAGAGGATGGTCAACACAGGAAATATATCCTCCATGCTTCCAAGTGAAGCCAGCCAAGGTCGAGTAGGACCTTTGACTTATCTTCACATAGATGGAACTGGTAAAAAAAGGAGCCAGAGCTCCTTCCAAGGCCATGTGATTCCTGATGAACAGAGCCTCAAACGACCTTAAGAGTAAAAATAAATAGATTTGGGCCATCTGTATGGTCTTAAACACCCAAAGGGAAAGTATAACCAAAGATTAAAGTGATGAGTATATTTAAGGGTCCATATATATAGCTAAAGGCTACATAACAAGAAACAATGCCAGACAGGAAATACCTTCCTTTGAGTTATTGGCCAGGGTCACCCAAAAGACTCCCACACAGTAACCCAGCATAGAACTGGAAAAATGAACAGCAGACCCCAATCTTATCGAAAGGAATTGACAACTGATTGCTGCTAGATGAGGAAGAGCTGATCTTCCTAAACAAGGGACTCTATAGATAGGCTAACTAGACTCAGCTGATGCACTTGCACTGGGGAATGGCTAGGGGCCACTGCTAGTGGGCAGTAATGGGATAATAGAGTATATGGGCTCCAGTGGGGGGAGGGCACTATGGGAAGGTGCCATTTGGGATGCGTGTGTAAACATGAACGAGATTGTTTTTGGATGTTCTGTATGAAATACATCCAAAAACTCCATTTAAAAAAATTACAAAAAAAAAATAATTGTTTAAAATCTTAAAACAAGAAAATTGAAGTTTAGGTTCAGTGACCTGCCACAGTCACCCTGTTAGTAGATGATGATGCTAGAGTTCAGACCCTAGTATCTGATTTCTAAATTTCTAAGTCTTTACAATTTTTGTGTTGCACTCCAACCTTCTAATAGTTTTAGAAGAAATAAAGTAGTTTCAACTTCGGGGTCAGTACATAAATCATCTGGACACTTACACATATATTCATGTATTATAGGTAGGTGGATCATTCTTCGTATACATTTGAGATATTTAACTTTTATTCTTCATTACAGCAATGAGTCATAATTCTGTTTCCATCAAATTTTCATATTTAGTCAGTGTTACTAATTAATCCAAATAAGATGTCAAAGTTTTTTTTAGACAGTATCTTACTATATAGCTGTGACTGGCCCAGAACTTGCTAGCCTCTGAACTCAGAGATCTGCCTCTCTGCCTCTACCTTACTTAAAGGTATGTGTAATCACACCTGGTGGAAGTAAACATTGTCTTTAATATTTACTTTTTTTGAATTTCATGTGTATGAGTGTTTGACTATATGTATGTAAGTGCACTATGTGTGTACAATGTCTACAGATGCCAGAAGATGGAGCCAGATCCCCTGGAGCTGGACCATTGTGGGTGCTGCTCTACAAGAGCAGTCAGTGCACTTAACTGCTAAGTTATCTCTTCAGTCCCACCTGGTTGTGATGAAGTTTTAAAAAGATTTCTCATACTCTCAGAATATCTCAGCATATTTCATTTTAAAGTATCTTCGTAGTTTAATCATATCTATTTTTCGTAAAGTCATTTTACATTGTAAGTGTTAAACAATAACTCTCATTTCTTAGCCTAGTATCATTCAAATTTTATCCTGTGGTCAACATTAAGAAGTAAACTTGGGGGGCTAGAGAGATGACTCAGTGGTTGTGAGCACTGACTGCTCTTACAGAGGACTTGGGGTCGATTCCCAGCACCCACATGGCAGCTACAAACCGTCCTTAACTCCAGTTCCAGGGGAATCCGAAGCCCTCTTTTGACCTCCATGGCATTGCATGACACGGGTGCACTCACATACAATGCAGGCAACACACTCATACACCATGGTGGTGCACGCCTTTAATCCCAGCACTTGGGAGGCAGAGGCAGGTGGATCTTTGTGAGTTCGAGACCAGCCTGGTCTACATAGTGAGTTCCAGGACAGCTGGGGCTACAAGGAGACCCTGTCTGAAAAAAAGAAAAAATAAATAAAAATAATAAAATATTGAAAAAAAGAAAGAAGGAAAGAAAGAAAGAAACTTGGGGCTAGAGAGATGGCTCAGAAGTTAAGAGTACTACTGGTTGCTCTTGCAGAGAATCCAGGTTTGTTTCCCAACACCCACATGGAGGCTAACCACCCTCCCTAGCTTCAGTTCCAGGGGATTTGACACCCTCTTCTGACCTTTTGTGGGCATTGCATAATATGGATACACTTACATGCTGGTAATACACTCATACTCATAGAACAAATTTTAAAAATTAAAAAGTAGCATTTGGGAGGCAGAGGCAGGCAGATCTCTGTGAGATAGAGGCCAGCATAGTCTACAGTCTACATAGAAAGTTCCAGGCCAGCTGGGGTTACAGGGAGGTCCTGTCTCAAAATGACCAAAAAAAAAAAAGCAAACAAATACCTTATTAGCATTTCTTATTCTAACACAATTTTTTTTTGGATTCATTTATTTTTTATGTGTACACACGTTATACCTGCATGGATGTGAGTGTACCCATGTCATGCAGTGTCTGCGGAGGACAGGAGGGCGTCGGACCCCCTGGAACTGGAGTTATGGACTGCTGTTAACTGCCATATGGGTGCTAATATTTGAACCCCGGGCCTTCTGCAAGAGCAGCCAGTGCTCTTAACCACTGAGCCATCTCTGCAGGACTTCTGAGATAATTTAAAAGTTGAATTATCAAAATTAAAGCATTTCAAAATGTTTGCTG